GGGAACAGCTCTTCCTTTTTTGTAAATGAAGTGCTCCATGTCCATGTAACAGCGGAACCTGGTTTTCTCTCTGTGTTAACACTTCATTTGGTACATTTGTGACCTTCGTCTGTTTCCTCTAGTGGTCATGGACCTGGAAGACAGGGACTCTGTACTCTTTATGTCTGTCTTCCCAGGGCTTGGCAGATAATCATTTACACAGAACAAAAGATAATTTCATTGGTTTGCTTTGGATAGTGGTGAAGCTGCATGTAGAAATAAGGGAGAAATAATTTGCATATATTTGAGAAAAATATTTTTTGTGAGTTTCTTTATACTTCTATTCTTATATAGACATTATTTTAATGAAATGCTGTTCTCCCCACCCCCCCTCTCTTCCTCTCCTTTTTCCTCTCTCCTCCCCACTCCCTTCCCTAAATGATTTGGCAGTTCTTCACTTGAAATGACGATTGAGGTCCTACAAAATAAACATAGGACAATTAGTTATTTTAAAGTGTGTTAACCCACAAAGATTATTTTCTTTCCATGACCATTTGGTAAGAAGGTTCTCTGGGATTGTGTAATTATGGGTGAATGGCATTGAAATGCTTGAACAATAATTTGTAGGAAATACAGTTATGAGTAGAAGTTATTAGTGGGAGTAAATGAATCATTTGTTGGTTAACAGGTCAACATTAAAAGCCCAAAGTGGTTAAACATTGTATTGAATTACAAGTTAAGAGCATAGCCCTTTTTCATTTAAGTATATTCATAAATTATTGAGCTTTTTAAACTGTATTTTTATGTTTTTTGACTTGTGGTAGAGAAAGAAAGGCAGCTGCCCAACCTGGGTTTTTTAGGAGTTCTGTGAAGTAAAATGACTCATGTTTGAAATGCGTGCAATGCTTTCTTCATCAGAGAGTCGTTTGGTCCACCTCCTGTGGCATTTAAATAGCATAAAGTAAGGAATATAATTTTTTTGAACATCAAAAAGTAATTTGGTACAGTTAATTTACAGTTTAATTTCCAGAGGTCAGCGATTCTGTTCTGTGTACAGTTCTTTGGTTCTGAATTCAGAAGAGACAGTTTCAGAACTGGGTGCTGATATCTCATTGTTGTGTAATGTTGTCCTTGAAGTATTTTAACTTCCTAATCTGTAGAATCTATCAAAAGCAACAAAAACTGTTCTTACTTCAGAGTAAATCTGCTTAGCATAGGTTGGGTTTATTCTAAGTTTTTTTTTTTTTGGTGCTTTTCACATATTAGATATTATATACCAATTTCAGTATATATCTGATGGGGGTTTGCAAGTGAATGTCCAGAAGGCGATATTTAAAATAGTTAATTTAAATCCCTGTGAGTTAAATGCTAATCATGAGCCCAGGACGGTGCTAGGAATTGTGAGATATATAAAGGAAACATGAGACAGTGGCCCTGCATTCGAAGTGCTGACTGCAGAGGTGGGGGAGATAAGACATATGCACTGCAATAATTACAGAATAATTTAGGACTGAAATATAGATAGTGACTATAGGTTATATAACTCTAATCTCCCCAGGCCTTTCTGAGCCTGCTTGGCCTACGGATATTTCAGTAATGATCAAAAAAAAATTTACTGCCTGCCTACCCCAACTCTCACAGAACTTCTAGCCCTTTTCAACATTTCTGCCTGCTTGTTATATGTGTATGTGGTCTCATGACAAATTTCGTGTGAGTTCATCTACTAGTCTGTCTGCCACAGTTACCATGAGGCATTTTCCATGCACTTTTCCTCCTCTTTTGTCTTTCTTGGTCATTGTTCTCCATTTTGGAAGGTGCTGGGGGCTGCCTCATCCCAGCCCCTACTGCTGACACCTGCTATGAGAGTACTGAACACAGGGGTACCAAGGGTGCAGGCTTTCATTGCTTTCTAGGCGGTCAAACCCCGAGGCGTGGGAGTGTGCTGTGCTCTGTGATGAAATGTGGTAGCGTCCTCTCTCTGGCACTCAGGGTCCTACCTGATCACCTGGGCATCAAAAGCTTGGGGTGCTTATTTCTGCACGACTCAGTTGTGATGTTCCTCATTCAATACATATTCACTGAACACCTGTTATATGCCAGACACTGTGATAGGCATTGGTGCTATCACGGTGAGCAAATATACGCATAATTCCTCCTGTCATGTTTAATAGGGGAGATAAACAGAATTACAGTAATAGAGGTCAAAGTGCAGTGTGTTAAGTGCTGGAAAGGAACATGGTGAGGTGTCAGATTCTGTAATACATGGTTTGACCCAGTTAGGAGGTCTCGGAGGCTTTTCTGAGGAATCAAGTTAAAATCATTCTGAAGAATGAGGCAGAGTGAGTTGATGAGAGAGTGAATCCCAGTAGAGGAGCACCAGGTGCAAAAGCCATCTGGAGAGTTCCTTTAGGTTCTATCTTCGGGTTCAGTGGTCCATGTGGTCAGGGGAGAAGGCCCCCATATAAGACAGATCCCATGGTGTCTCTGGTATGTCCTTTTCCCCCCAACTGCTCTTTTGCGTAACTTTTTTCCATTTGTGTGGAAAGCATTTCACACAAATGACTATAAAATAGTCAGACATGCTTGGGCATGCCTACAACCCGGATGTACACATAGATTTTGCTCAAGTAAGACCCCACAGCACTATAATGTCTGTAGGAGGAGGTGGACATCAGGATGGGCTGAAGTGCTCCCTGGAATCTAGAAGAGGGGTGGCCTGAGGTGTGTCTTGGGGGAATAGGTGAGGGGAAGAAAGCGGGGCCCACAGGTCAAGCCACAGATTGGGTGAAGGCATAGTGGTAGGAATGAACCTGTTAAATGAGAAGAGGCAAGGAGACTGGGCTTCTGGGAATGGAGAGGTCATTAAGGAATTGAGACCATAAAGTAGAGACAGATTATGGAGAGTCTTAAAAGTCAAGAGAATTTGGGGCTTTGTTACTTACTGAGTACTGTAGGCAGATCCTGTAGGTTAAGGGTCAAAGAAGGGATGTAATTAAAATAACTCAGCAAAGTTTAAAACAAAGAACAATGCAGAATGGCCAGAAGAATAAAAGTTGTTTGCAGACACTCTAGCTCAGGTGATTATCATGATTACTTCAAAGTTCTTGAATCTGAGATGATAACGCATTCAAATGTCAATATCTACTACATAACTATTAGAAAAATAAGGCTGGCACTCATGAAACATCCAGGTTTGATGTTTTAGTCATATACACAGAGGTAATATTTTTGCAACGAGAGTGAATAAGTTATGAGATAATTTTACTGCTTTATAGAGGCTCTGTCAACATTTGAAAGGACATAAGTTTATGTTAATAATGAAAAATACATTTCAAAGACTCTGTGATTTTTTTTCTTTCATTCTGTTATTTATAAGAATTATTAGTTGAGAAATATTTTTGTTTTCCCTACTCTTGGTTTTGCCATGAGTATCTTGCATGTTGGTAGGTGCATAGTAGGTACTTGTTACATATTGACTGAGTATTGTAAATAATTGATCACAGTGTTTAATAGAATTTTGCCTTCAATAAACATTTTCTGTGCTCAATGGAACTTTTTCTGTGAAGGCATTCAAGAACCAATCATAGAAATTCATATATATATAGATATATATAGATATATATCTATATATATCTATATATATATGCATATAAAGAAACTGTATTTCATTTTATTGTTCCCAAAGGTTAAACATACAAGAAAGGAATAAAATTAAAATTATTTTCGTTTGTGATGATTTATGTCTTAATTCTTACCTGCCCTATAATTAGAAATGTTGAATTCTGTGTTTTTTGAGATAAAATTATTGCCCAAGTAAACTTCAGAAATTACATCATTAACCCAGAGACCTTTCTAAGCCTAGAACAACGTTATTGGTACAAGTGCCCTCACACACAGACAAATAAAGAGGAAAGTTTAAAATAATTTGAAAATGATTTATTGCTGGCCACCTCTGTAGTTAGGGATTCAAGTATTATTACTTTACTTTAGTGCAACAAGGGAGGACAGTAAGTTGCTGTGGGCTAAAGGTAAATTATGATCTATTGCAAAGGAAGAAGGAAATGTACTGAGGAAAGAAGAAGGATTTGGGAGTGAGCCATGTGTTTTCTGAAGTATTGCTTCAGATAATGCCTTGAAAAAGATCTTTGCCTTGATCATTACTGAAAAAGGCCAGAGTAAATAGTGAGACAGACTACCTCCTTGAAAAACTGATAGTGAAGGAGTAGCATCCTGTATGGGAGGATCAGATAGATGCTCTGGAGCCTCATACAAACCAAGATATCTTGAGACACATGTTACTCTTTAACTTTGCATGGCAATTCTATGTTGGATACACCCAGTTATAGATTTTGAAAGGATTGTTTAACACACCACAATTCAGGACAGCCTATCTGAGGTAATTTTGATTTTGTACTCTACTAACACTGTAAAGCAAGTTGATGTCTTCAGGTTAAAAATTCATTATGGACTTCTATATCAGAGATTCTAATAGCTATTTGTTTTTTTATTTGGAATAAAAAAGAGGTGGTAAAATTATATACTCAAAACCCAAAGAGATGTAGGGAAGGAAGAATAAAAGACTAAAATATTGAGGGTCTATTAAGTAAAAGGTCCAAAATACATGTTTCATAGATATTTAATTTAACCCTCCCGAAACCCCATGAGGGAAGGAAGGCCTTGGTACTTCTGCTTTGTAACTGAGGAAACTGAAACCCACTTTTGAGTATAATACCCAAAAGAACATGGTTAGAATATGGCAATACTGTAATTCAATTGGAAGTTTAGCCTGACTTCAATTCTTGTGTTTTTGCACCATGCCACTCTCAATCCTGGATTACTTTTATTGCTACCATGTGACAGACAAAAAAACCAATACCCAAAAAAGTGAAGGCATTGATGCTCATTGAACTTGAAGCTTGCTTTCCTGGGTCCTTCTTTCACAGGATTCACTGCCCGTATAATACCACATTTGTATTAATTATTAAAGTGTCTAAAGATAAATTCTCCTCTGACTGCTTTAGGTTCACTTCCGGAAGTAATTGTCACTCATCTTCGAGCAGCTGCCTACGCCCATGACACAGTGTTGGCTCTGGAAGATGCTGTGGATTGGCATTCTGGGGATGAAGTTGTCATCATCAGTGGGATAGGTGTTGAAGGTGCCAAGCCCATGGAAGAGATTGTCATTGTGGAAACGGTGCACAATGCAGACCTCCATCTGAGAGCACCTTTGAGGTAACTGAGTGACAGCTTGGCTCCATTTAGATGGAGGAAGAGTAGATCTTAACTGTGTTGGTGTCTGGACATTGGTTTGTCTTTCCATGATGCAGTTTTAGTTAAATAAGGCTAGATGTTTTGACAAGAAAATTACAAAACATGAAATGTTTTGAAGATTTATACTTCTTAAATAAGGTTCTTTTGTAAGACTCTAGAAATTCCAACTTATAGTAGGTGGTCAGTACAATAGCCAGTATAGTTTCTAATTGTCAAATAATTGTGCCTGTAGTTCACTCTTCCGTACTTGAGTTTCTAAAGAGCTAGGCCCCAAAATAGAAAATTATGTGAATCTAGTGGCTTTCTATTCCTAATAATATTCAGAGTGGTATCTACAGATGTCTTTTTCCTTTTCCTGTTTTTCAGATATTCTCACAACTGCACAGAAAATTGGATGGCTGGAGAGCACCCTATTTTAAAGGCCACAGTGGCTCTGCTCAGCAGGAATATTATTATCCGAGGAAATCTCACTAATGAGAGGACAAAGCTCCTTGCTTTGTGCCAGGGGGCTTATGCTTCAGAAGGTAGAGAAATATTTCGTTGGAAGATCCAATGAATGAAAAAGAGTGTTCTTACTGTCAAATCACGGGTAACATTGCTGACTTCTTTCAAAATAGAATAAACCCGTAACCTTTGCACATCCGTAGTATTCTATAGTTTTCAGAATGCTCTTGATAAATTGTCATTTCATCTCCTGCCCTCAACCACCTTGTGAAAGAGGCAAACAAAAGTATCCACTTGAATATTTAATTATTTCTCTGGGGGAAAAAGTCCCTGCTAAATAATTAAATCTGGAGAGTTGAATGAAATTTCCAGGTTAGAGGTTAAAATGAAGTCTTGTCTCTGATTCCAGTCCCCTTCTAACATTCTCAGGAAAACTGTTCAATGCCAGGGTCATGAACACAGGCAGCAGCACATTCTTACTGATTAGACTTGTTGGCTTCTTCCCTCCCGCCCCCACTCCCACTTCTGGAGTTTGTTTTCTCAGTGAACTACCACATACTTTAAGTAAGTGGTTGAAAAAGTCAATTTATCTTCTAGAAGAATAACAGGCACTGAATCACACTGATGTGCCTATTAAACATCTATTTCAGGGATGGTTAGTTTAGTAGGTTATGTTTTGGTTTCTCAGGCTGTAGATTATGAGGCTTTCACATGTTGTGAAGACATCATTTGTCAACTTTGGTCCAGGATGGTGTGGGTGTCAAGGATGACTCCCAGGCATGAGCTCTGGATGGATGATGAGGCTATTTATTGAGATGGGAAGAGGAACAAATTTTGGAGTGGGAGGGTGGAGATCATTAGTTTAATTTTGTACGTGTCGAGGCTGAGATGCTAGGCCAGCATCTGAGTAGAGATGTCTGGTAGTGTCCCGAGCCTGGAAGAAAAGTCAAGGATAGAGTTAAAGGTTTGAGTACTCTCTCTACATATAGACACATATGGGTACAATGTTGGGATGTGGTTGGGAGAGAGGAACATTTACCCCACCACCCTGCCACCCCGTCATCTAGCTCACAAACGTGTCATTCTGAAAAATGTTTGACTACAGTGGATCATAATCCAGTGACTGCCAACATTAACAATTCTGCTGAATTAAGATCTGAATTCTATTCAAACACTTTTGGGATTACTCGTATAGGTATTCTCAGATCAAGCTGTGTAAAACATTACATTTGATCATGCTGTCAGTGAGACCATGCATCTGGATTTGGGCCATTATAAAGCTGTTGGCTCTCAATGGAAAAAAGAATTCCTGATTTGAGCACAACTCTTAAACGTTACTACAAAATTCCCAAAATAAAGCAGAATTCATACCTTCACTAGAAACATATGTCCCTCACCTCTTCGTGTGTGATGGAAACATGGGAATGAGATAAGTAAATACAATAATACAAGGCCTGGCCAGTTGAGAATATTATGGGTCACTGACATAAAGAATCAAAATTGTGATAAAGCATAAGCATATGCAACAGCTCTTTAATTTGCCTCTTACATATTCGTTTTCTGGGTGTTCGCAAATGACTGGACTCTAATTTACTATGGATTATTTACTGTGGAATGGCACATCAATTTGAATTAATGGCACTTCTCTTCTGGTTTGTTATGATGGATAATAAAGAATCAGTTCAGGAGATGGTTTCTTAGTTAGTTCCCACCACTACATGCCTGTGTCAACAGAAGGTGTCCTGGGCCCTGAAGCAGCAACATTCCAGCAATGGTAGCTGTGTGTACTAGGTTCATGCTGTTTGCTGTCCTCTCTAGGGGCACGACTTGGAAGGAGGTGTTGGTTCCAGGGCTGCTCAGTCACTTCTATGGAACCCTTTGCCATTTTGCAGTGGCAGTTTTGTTAAGTCCCCAAACTATAAAGCGGCAAAGGAAAGGGGAAGCCCATTGGAGAGTTTAAGTCTAAAAAAAGCTGTGATTACATTCAGCACTCACATCTTTTCCCTACAATTATCAACCATGAGAAGGTCATTTTATTGCACACTTCCTCCAGGGGATTTTTTTAGATTCAAATAAGCATCTATTTTGGTTGGGTTTGTGGGATGTAGTCAGCCTCTTTGTGACAGTAATTAAGGTGATTGATTTGGGAGGCTTCTGAAAATAATAAAGGCAACATCATGTCTTAGTTATCAGATATTTTAATTCATAACCTGAAAAGGAGAATCAAGGTAAAAGGGAAGTAAGATTATTAAATGAAATAAATACTAGTGCTTTGTCTTTTGTGCTGTCCCGTGCCTTTCAAACAGGGAGATGTGTCTAGAAGCATGTCTACATGCTTCAAATCAGCTGACTTCATTCTGTGTTTCAGGTAATTTGCAGCACTGTTTGTATTCTAAGAGTGAGAAAATGCTGGGATCCAGGGATCTGGGTGCCAGAGTCATTGTTCAGTCCTTCCCAGAGGAGCCCAGCCAGGTCCAGTTGAAGGGAGTGCAGTTCCGGGAATTGGGGCAAGCCTTCCACAAGCATCTGAGCTCGCTGACACTGGTGGGCGCTATGAGAGGTAAGGGGGTCCACGCCTATGACTTCTAATGTTTCTTCCTCACATGTTCAAGGCACTACATGCCAGGGATCATGATAGGTGATATGTGGGGTGGGGGGCATTTCAGAGATGGATAATTATGATCTAGATCTATGGTTCTTAAACTTTAGTATGCTTAAAAGAATCACTTCAGGAGCTTATTAAAGTTCAGAGCTATGTGCCCTGCCAAGACAAATTTTGGTTTAAGGTAGGCCTAAGGATCTGAATTTTTAACAAGCAAACCTTATTATTCTAGAATAAATGGTCCAAGGAGTATACTTTGAGAGACATCAATATAGGTACAACAGACGTGGATTGTGTGAATCCATGTTTTAAATCCTGCCTCTATCATTTACTATCTTGTGACTATAGGCACATTGACATTGAATCGTATAAATAATTAATACAATGGGGGTTAGCACAGCAGAGAGCAATTCTATGTGAAGTTGTCCTAACTCACAGGAATCTTCTTGGAAAAATGGGAGAGAATGGGCTGAGAACCAGGTACTTTTTTCGGAAACATAGACTAAGCAGAGTGTGCAGATCTTGGGCAGAGCGGAAGAGATAGAGAGGGAACAGGAAATATCAACTGCACATGGGAACAACTAGGTGAAAAACAAGATTAGAATAAAAAAAGAAGACTATGACAACTTGTACTGATAAAGGTTCTGAAACAAGTTGGAGAGTCTTAGGAGCATCTTATGCCAGAAGTTGACATGCAGAGTCAGGGAACTGGGGTACAGACGTTCACTAATGAAGACAGAAATGCCATTTCTGAGTTATCCTTCCCATCCCTCAACACCTCCGACACCCACACATTCAAGCTTTCCCATCCTTGGAGGTGCACTAAGGGTGGTGCCTGACAAAGGACATCAGGGCACACATACTTCGTGGTTCAGGTGGGCCTTGAGAAATGTGAGAATTTCAGCAGGTAATGACAAAGTAATCTTTGAAGTCACTGAAGGCTAGCCAACTGCAACATTTTGTTTCTCATTGCAAGTTCATCTGCATGCCAAGAATGTCTGTGTATGCTAATTTCCAGATCTCTATCACTTTATTTATTTATTTATTTATTTATTTATTTATTTATTTATTTATTTATTTATGAATTTCATTTAGGGGGATGGTTCCTAACATGGAAACGATAGTACGTTAGGACAATCAGTATTTTTGTGCCCTTCTCTTTGTTTTATTTTGGTCTGTTGCAGAATATTTGACATGGGGACCAGCTCCAGTATAAATGAATATAGCATTCACATATGTGTTATCAATTGAACATAATCAAAACTCTCCCTTGCTCAAACATTTACTTAATCTGCCTTCTTTAACCTCTGCTTCAGAATAGCTGCATTTTTACCTATTTTTATATATTAGGTTTTATTTGAGAATGGGTTCAGTGTTTAAAAAACAGTTTGAAAACCACTAAGTGAATACATTATCCCCTGGAAGTCTGTTAAAATGCAAATATGTTTCCTAGGAGAGGGCAACATACTAACCCAGAGGTTAGAAACTTTTGGCATGCTTGCCAAACTTTTTTTTTTTTTTTTTTTTAGCTGAGCCATCCTGCCACCTGTTGGCAGCTCAGCGGCAGGTCAGCTTGGGCTGGGTCAGGCATCAAACCACTGTTGCTCAGAGCTTGCACTCTTGAGTGAGCTCTTAACCAACTGAGCCACTTGGTTGGCTCTAAAGATCTTTTGTTTCATGCTCGGAAGGCCCTGGTGACCTAGTGGCCAGTTGCCCTCAGACACTAGAGCTAAGGGGTGTTAGAATCTTCACTTGCACACCACTTTTAAAAGTTTACCGGTTCCTGAACTTAACCCATAATAGCTCTGTAAATATATCAGTACTTATTGGGTTGTTCAGATGGGCAGGTGTATCCTGCTGGAGTGACACTAGGGCAGAGAACTGGAGTTAGGAAAAGTCTGCAGCAGGCAGTGTTTTCTACATAAGTGGGTACGGATGTGTGAACTTATTGGTGAGTGATGTGAGAGCATCTGGTACTAGGGGAGCTGAGACCAAGGGGAACGTGGAGGCCCTGAATCTATGGAGACATATTTGAGAAATTTCTGGATAGTTCTAGTTTAAAGTCAAATTATTCCATAAACCAAAGTAATTTTCCTAAATACTCCAAACATTTGACATCAGTATAATATTGCTCACTACCTGGAAATAATACAAAACTCCTTTTTCCGGATTTATTGTTTAATCATCCAAATAATACATGTTTATTATTTTAATGTGTTTCCCCCATCAGACCAGTTACACAAGTGCAGAATTTACTTAATTTTATTCATCTTCATATCTCTAGCACAATGCACAGCTCCTGAAATATATAGTTGATACTCAGTAAACATTTATTCATTGTTGAGCCAGTCCACATAAATTGACTTGGGTCATAAAATAGGCCCATGGAGCCAATGTGATGTTTTTCCTAAATGTCATTTTCTTTTACTATAGTATAGAGTGTATCCTCTTCAGCTTCCTAAACCCACCACATGCAAATGTGAGAGTTGTGATCCTCAGGTCAACCTCTGGCTTTGCTTATATTGAATTATAATCTTGTACACCTGAAAATGATATTATATAATGTTATTAGCCAACACTACCCAAATAAATTTAATTAAAAAAAAGAATCTCTGGCCATCTTGGGCCAACAAGATAAATATTGTTGCCCAGCAAGTTAAAAATATTACTTCATAGCTCAAGAAATAAAAATGGGATGTGGAGTGTAGTGTGGGAATGGAGTCAATGGAATTGCAACAGATATGTATGATATCGGGGCGGGGGGGCAGTGGGCGGTGGATTGGGAGGGGGGTTGTCACTTTGTAAGGGGTGAAAAGGATAACTATTGCATTGTTTAGTACACCTGAAACTAATTAAAAAAGAAAGAAAGAAAGAAAGAAAGAATCACTGGATCTCCTCATGCCAGATGCAGTTTTCAAAAATCAGGGTTGGTCCATAAGCAGTACTCTTTACATTGTCCTTATCTTCTCGCTAGCAGCTGTCCGTCATATTGTGATAAGCATTAGTACCAAAGATGCTGGCCAGTTGGAAATCTTGACAGCCATGCAGTCTTTTGTGGTTTGGCCATACTGTCTCTTTCTGAGGTGTTTTCCTTTTTCAACACTTGGCTCTTGGATTCTACCCTGCTTATCTTTGGTATGTTTGAAGTGCATTGGCCTGAGTTGCCCATTTTTTAAAAAAATATTTGTTTTCTGCTTCTAACTCCTCATTTCCTTGGTTTCATCATTGTGTGGGAGAATGTTCTTATTGTAGCTTGCTTTGGAGGTGATTAACAGAATCTTAGGAGCCTTCAAGGTTCCCTTCTAATTTTTACCTTATTTTTTCCAATTCAGGTTCCTACATACAGGGCTGCACAGTGTGGGGCTCGTTCAGTAGAGGCCTCAGCATGTTTAGGACCCTGGGCCTGAAGGTGGACAGAAATGTGTTCTACAATATTTTAGGCCATGCACTGCTGGTGGGTAAGTGAAATGAGCTTATTTAATTCGGGTATTCTTGAGTAAGACACATAGTTCTTTCAAAAACGTATTGTCCCCAAATTTAAATTTCCAATTTATAAAAGCTGTAGCCTTTGCTCATTAGAAATAAGCCATAGTTAAAAATTCTAAATACAGGGCTGGCTGAGGGGTGTGTTGGTTAGGAGTTGGTTTGGGACGCCAACTCTGAGCATTAGGGCACGGGATTGGATCCCACATGAGAGGGCCAGTGACGCTGCACCCTCTATAGCTAAAGATGATGAACAACAGCTCAACCTGGAGCTGGGCTGCTGTCAGTCACTGGCTATGGTGTAGGCTACAGTGGGGCTGGCCAGCAGCTGGCGTGTGCTTTCATGAGCTGCCATGAGCTGCCGTGAGTGGCTGTCCAATGGCTGGCAAGTGACTGCCTCACCCAGGAAGAGCACAATGATAATACCAACATGGGCCAGTGAAGCAACGTCCTCCACAACTAGACTGAAGTACAAACAAAAGGACAGCAGCTTGTCTGTTCCCCTTCCTCAATTCCCCAATGCTGTTCCCCTCCCCCAGTTCCCTAACAAAATCTTTAAAAAAAAAAATTCCAAATATAAATTTAGCTATCAGTGATTGGCTAACTAAGTTTTACAATAGAAAACTGATCTTTTAAAGGTGACATTTCAGTTCAGGTTCATAAATATACAATGGGAGATTTTAAGTTTTGCCATCAGCAATTTTCACAATACTTCAAAGTCACATAAAATATCTTTGTACCATCTCATGCAGTGTCAGACCTAAATGCTGGACAAGAAGTTAAAAATCTTGAATTCTGTTCTTAGCTACTCCTGTGGCTTGCTGAAGAAGCCCACGTTTCAGAATCTTCTAACTGGTCACCTATATC